ATATATATATATATATTGTATTGCTGTCAAATGATTAATCGCATCCAAAATAAACATTTTGTTTACATAATATATGTATGTGTGCTGTGTATATTTATTATGTATATATAAATACACACACATGCATGTATATATTTCAGAAAAATATGTTATGTTTATATATTAAATATAATTATTTATAATATAAATTATATGAATATAAATATAGACATGTAAATATTTTCCAAATATATACTGTATGTGTGTGTATTTATATATACATAATAAATATGCACAGAACACACAGATGTTTCTCCTATAATTCCAGAGAAATAAAAATAGAAACAAATGTTGACACACAGTAAGACTATAAAGTAATCAAATAAATGCAGATACCATAGCTCACATCATTTGATCTTGGAATAATTTAATGAGAAATGTTTGAGTTCGTTTAGAAATCACTTTTGATTGCGGATTTTAATATCTTAGAAAATCTGAGCATGGTTTGAGATATTTCTGAGATCTCTAGAGGAGAAACATGTGAGATTTACAGGATCTCCAGACTTTATTGAATCTCATCACTGCCAATGAGAAACTATTCATATATTAAAGTGTGTGTCTCAAATGTGATTTTCTGTTATATGGAAATAGAGATTTACTGACATTAAAATTCTGGGCAATAGAGATAAACTAATCATATCTGGTGTATGTATGTGGGTGTATGTAGCCTATATAAACAACAAGTGTGTGTGTGTGTGTGTGTGTGTGTGTGTATATATATATATATATTGTATTGCTGTCAAATGATTAATCGCATCCAAAATAAACATTTTGTTTACATAATATATGTATGTGTGCTGTGTATATTTATTATGTATATATAAATACACACACATGCATGTATATATTTCAGAAAAATATGTTATGTTTATATATTAAATATAATTATTTATAATATAAATTATATGAATATAAATATAGACATGTAAATATTTTCCAAATATATACTGTATGTGTGTGTATTTATATATACATAATAAACATACACAGAACACACACATATATTATGCAAACAAAAACTTTTGTTTTGGATGCATTTAATCGCAATTAATCGTTTGACAGCACTAATATATTGTTTATCATATCTTTATTTTAAAACATTTTCCATTTATTTATTTATATTAATAGTAGAAATGTTTATTTATTTCCATATATTTTTTTATTTTTCCGATATTTCAGTTTTATTTATTTTGTGTTTAATTTACTATTAAAAACCAGTAATTTAAAAGAACAAAAAGTAATCAGTCATATACAAGTGGATTTATTTTGAGACTTGCTAAAGATTATTTAACATTGTTATTAAGTTATTAGTGCATTAGATGACAACAAACATAATCTAAATGTAAAAATAAAATGAACATGCACAAAAAAAATCCAATATCCAGTAAATTACAACAATTCTATATGGCTGATCACAGTAATGGTACCTATTCATCCCTAATGGCAAAGGCTAAGTATGATGCACACATTGCTGTGCTGTCATTTTTGTGCTCAATGAGGGAGCAACTATCCCCTCAATGAGGCTTATGCGCTCATAACAGCATTTGTGTTTGTCAAAGCCTGCGTTTGCTGGTCCCTTGATGATATTGTAAATTCAGCTGAGATTAAGAATCTGCGGCTTCTTTTTTCTGCTCTAATAGCTCTCCGAATGTTGTCTGAGTAACTTTGAGCAAACTGATGATCTGTCGGTCTGCTGCCGAGCGATTAGCGTCAGTAATGATGTGATTGTCAGGCTAGTGAAGGGAACTGAGTGGAACCGGATGCTTGACTGCCAGCATTAACTTCACTCAGCACAGGTGTGAAGGTCTGTGTATCTCCAGTGAATTAGTCATTTATATTCCAGCTGTCGGATTCATAATAAAAGCAAATTGTCTCAGTAAATCCTTGTGATTTACTCCTACTTGGAATTTAACCCTACAGTGCTTGAGGTAACAGATGATTGTTAACACCTCCCTGTGTATATTCCCAGTTTAAATATAAATTACTCTTTCATTTCTTCTAAATAACTCATCTTAAAAGTAGCGTATTGTTTCCAATGATTTCAATTGTTCACTTGAAGTCTGTAGTCCACCATTTTGTGGAATAAAAGAAATAACACAGAGATTAAACAGATTACAGAAGTATGTGATTTGAGCAGATAACCAGCCACTATCACAGGCGATAGTTTGAGGCGATAGTTTGATCAAAAAATCCATTCTAAAAGAACAAAGGAGAGATAATTGTTTTTGTATGTGTGATGGTGTTGTACCAGGAGTATTTCCAGTGTTTCAAAGGAAATTCAAAGTGAGAAAGCTCCTAAAATGAAGAAGAACCACTTCTGTGTCCATGTAGAGATGTTCTGTAGATATAAAGCTCTACATCAGAGCAGACAAGCCAGGTTATGTTTTCCACCTCCTAATGTTTTCCATTGATTTCCTGGAGTCAGTGCTGTTTTTTGCAGCCTGGAACCTGGTAGCATAGTCTAATAAATATTATTTGATATACAGTATATGCTACATTACACCGTTAAATAGTTTGGGGCCTGTAAGATTTTTATTTATTTATTTTTAAAAAAATTAATAATTTATTTCACATGGACACATTCAATTGATCAAAAGTAAGAATAAAGACATTCATACTGTCACAACAGATTTCTATTTCAACAAATGCTGTTATTTTGACATTTCTATCCATCAAAGAATCCTGAAAAAATAACATCACACTTTCTACACAAATATTAAGCAGCACAACTGTTTTCAACATTTATGGTAATAAATGTTTCTTGAGCAGCATATCAGAATGATTTCTGAAGGATCATGTGACACTGAAGACTGGAGTAATGACTACTGAAAATTCAGCTTTGCCATTACAGGAATAAATTACATTTTAAAATCTATTCAAATAGAAACGCAATAATATTTCACAATATTACTGTTTATACTGTATTTGTGATCAAATAAATGCAGCCTTGGAAACACACACACAAAATAATGTTATTCCATTCCATTCAATAGTTTCCCGAAATGTTCCATTTTTGCTTAATTTTTACTTATAATAAAAGTAAAGCCTTTTGGTTCAGTCATATTGTTTTTGATTCAGTAGCTGCTTTACCGATTCATAGGTCATGCTCTGAATGATTCCTAAGACTGATTCAAACTGAGTCTTTTTGTGTGATTCATTACAAGAACCGCTTATACAAGTCATTAATTCATGCAGTATGTTTTTTTTCTTGCAGCCAATAAACATCGTTGTGGCATTATTTTACAGCATTCAGTCATCTATCTCACTGCCATTATCATAGTATTTGGACATAATACCATAGTAAGTAAAGCCATGGTCCTTTGGAAACTACTACAATGGTAATGCCTTTATACTTTTTGAAATACCAACTAGTGCATACCATTGAAAACAATAATGATACAGTACTAACTGAAACCTGAGCCCAGCCCGTACCCAAGATCGTTTGACCCGACCCAACTGCCATTGTTAAATTTATAGCCTGAACCCGACCTGAACCCGAAATCGTTTTTTCACCGAATAGCCAAACTATGTGAAATGTGTTGTATTTCACAACTGCATGCAACAGTCTGTAAACAAATACATGTAAAGGCTCATCAAGGCTCTGTCTACAAACAATGAAGCTGAGTTTATTTACTTAAGAACAGAGATTTTACCCCCTCATTGCTGAGGTATATAATGTAGCGTGTATCAAAGCTATTTTATTAATAAAGGTTTCTGTGCTCCACAGTGTTTCTGTGTGTGCGCTGCGCCATCTCCGATCTCTGTGTGCAAGTGATGTGTGTGTGCGCATGCGTCAGTGAAAGCAGCATAGCTACAAACCCGAGCCCGACCCAAACCCAAAGCTATTCATTAAAAATAAACCCGAACCTGTCGGCACCAATAGCCTCGTGGTTAGTGCGTCGACATACAGCACAACTGCGCTCACGGCGACCTGAGTTCGATTCCTGTTTCGAGGACCTTTGCCAGACCCGCTCCCTCCCAGTCCTTTCCTGTTGTCTCTCTCTACTGTCCTATCTATAAAAAACTGCATAACCCCCCCCCCCAAAAAAAGAGAGTATTTTGGGACGCTTGGGTCGAGTAGCAGACCTGCATGGTATTCTGTACCAAGGTAAAGCACAGTACTGGTTTTTATTGTCTATCCTGATCTACTCATATACAGGCACAGCCCTAAAATGATCACCCCATCCCTGAACCACAAAACCAGCCATCCATCGCTCCCCTGTCCCATCTTCATTCCCCATCATGTCATCATTGCGCACTTAATGCTTGTTGTCACGGTGACTGGGCTTGTCCGGTTCCTCTCGGTTTCACCTGTTCTGGCTCATCAGACGCTGACACGGAAATGATGGCAGCTAACCACCCATACCTGATGGTGTGTGTTAGCGCTGGAGCACGGGGCCCACGTGGTGTGCCTTTGCTGTCACATCAAGTTAGCGTGCTATAGATGTGACAATCATTAGCATTAGCCACACGCTAATTCATCGGCCACACATTCCACTGTTTGATTGGTTGTGTAGACACAGATCAGATATGAAGTGTTATCTGATTGCTGCTTTTGGTAACCAGGGAGACAGTGTGTTCGTTTTGAAGGGGGCATTGTGTTTGGCATGTTGAACGTGTGTTTGTGTTAAAGGTTGATGCTTGAAGGTTGATTAGCTTTCCAATTAGCCTTCATGTTATGTTACCGTGTGACGAATCTTTGCGTGTGCACGCGTGCGTGTATCTGAATGTTTGCGGTTGTGTTTAAAGACATGCCGAAATGCCCTCTACCCAGTTTCGCACATGCTCACTTCCTATTTCAACGTCAATCTGACTTAATTAGCATGACAATTAGGGACTGCTGCCAAGGCAATCAGTTAAATCAATAATGCAGTTATGAATACATGAATATTTCAGACAAATTATCCATATTCATCTGTCTCATTTTCTTTCTTTCTTTGTTTTTCTCCACGTGTGCAGACATGGGCTGTAAGTTGCAGAAGCCTCGAGGTTCAGATGAAGCTCCGGGGAAGATTTTCTCCACCCTCAGAAGAGCGCAAGTGGAGACGCACTCAGGAGTGGCCTATACATACCACTTCCTGGACTTTCTGTTAGGAAAAGAAGGTACGCATGCCCATTTCCTGCACACTTTATATAATATAAAGTCCCTTTGTAGGTGTCTTTGTTGTTTTTAATTGGGATTTAATATGGCCAGATTTTCATATGGGTGATGAACTTTGACCCTTAAGGTACATTCACACAAAGGACAATAGCTATAATCATAACTATAAAGTTTTAATAATCATTCATCCTGACCACAACCGTAACAACTTATAAAGAGGAACAATATCATTGGAATAACTTTGAGGAGAATTGTTTTTCCAGCTAATGTGCAATAAAAACATTGACAGCCAATCAGAATCCATCCAATTTTAAAGAGTTTGAACATTTGTGGCAGAAACAAAACTGTAGTGCAAACTTACAATAAAAACATTATCACCCATTGGTGTGTAATTATCGTTGTTGTTGTGAATGGGGCTTTACCCATATTTCTGTATAACTGTCATCTTTACATGTCATTATGGAAGTGGTAACTCTGGAATATATATCATTATTTATTATTGCAGTAGACCAATATATAACTCAAAACAGACCATAAACCAAAAAAAAAAAAAAAAGACAGAACAATGTTGTTATTGTTAACTACTGTAAAACTAAAACAATTAAAAATCTTTGTTATTACCTAAAATAAAGCTGAAATAAAATATTACATGAAAAAGTCAACTGAAAAAATGTAAATAACCATAAGCAATGTTGCACTGCAACTAACTGAAATAAACATTTAAGTTGAAATACTAAAATCACTAAAACTAACACTGAAATAAAAATATTTAAATAAATATTTAATTAAAAAAGCAAGAAAATGACAAAAGCACATACAAAACTTGAAAATAAAAAATATAATTTAAAAATATATTGATAAATACTATAATATATAAATAATACTAAAGCAACACTGATTGGGAATTATTCAGATTTTTTATTTATTTCATAAAAAGTTTTTTCTTCTTCTTTAAGACTTAATAATTCATGCATCAGAGGATTAATATACAGAGTGACATACAGCATAAAAATGATTGCTGTTTTTCAGAATTCAAATCAACATCCATATTGATAATATGCATACACAAATGCAGAAACCCACCCTCAGATAATAAAGTGTAAAGCTTCAAACTGGGAAGAAAAAAAAGTGTAAGATTAGATGAGAGAGAGAGTAATAGAGCAAGAGAGCAACCAAACAGTGTATATTCTTTGAGGGCTTATGTTTCTAAATATACTAATGCCGCTTTTGTTAGTGTGCTTCGAAAGAGGCAATAATGGATCCCGCAGAATTCGGAGAAAGAGGATACGAGACAGGATGAGAGAATATAAGACACAGATTGAAGTGGAAGAACAGACCTGCTCATTTAATGACTTGAAAGCATATGAGTATATGGGCCATTAATGAACATAATTACAAGAGTATGACCATATCACTAGTTGTTTACTTTTTGTGTGTGTTTGTGGGGGGGGGGGGTGACTCTCCAAGAAGAAAACATGCTAATAAACATACTAATGTCTTAATAAAAAGGTTAGTGGTTAGTGCATAGAAAATAACATGGAATAATAACAATAGAAGCCAATGGAAAGTCTCTCTATCCACTCCAAGTTGGATACTTTAATGCATTTTGTATTATGAACTAACAATGAACATTATTCTTTAACTGCTTTATGAGTCTTGGTAAATATTTATGAATATACTAATGTCAATGCATACTTAGGATGAATTGCTTCTATTCAGACAAACGTCTACTAAATGAATACTATAGCAAGTTTTTTACACAGCACATGTTATTTATAACTGGAATACTTAATTTTGACTAAATTGTGATTCAGTTACACCATTCAATGGTCATTGTCATCCATAGCAATGCATTATATAAGTATTTGTTTATTTGGTCTTGTAATAAATGCCAGTCATGTCCACTCTGTCTAGGCTTTTTTAGCAGTAATTTAAATATTGTTAGTTTATCCAGTCTATTGCATTTACTACTTAAAGTTAACGCTTACAACATTACCCAAACACAAAAGTGTGTGTGTGTGTGTGTGTGTGTGTGTGTGTGTGGGTGTAGGTGAGACCTGAATCAAATATTTATTTATATAAAAAATAGAAATATGTGAGAACTGGGACAGCAGCAATCGTTCAGGTTCTGGACACACACACACACACACACACACACACACACACACACACACCCCACTCTTTCTGTTTTAACTGCTTATCGGTAGACATGCAGGCAGGTCATTTATATGTAAAATTCACGGATGCCTACAGAGACACCGAGACAAAAAAAAGAGTTTCACTGCAAACTGCTGTAACAGCGCGAGTGAAAGCCAGAGATGTTCGAATATGTTTGTTTGTTTCAGGGCATCAATATTGAAAGCAACGATAAGTGACTTAATGAATTAAATAACAGAGGGAAAAAACAGAGAGAGAGAAAATTCTAGGCATCCTTTAAAGATTATCTGATCTTAAAGATGGGAGGGCTTAGTACTAAAATCTGGGATTTATCTGTTTGTGTGTGTGCAATAGAGAAAATCAGTCGTCCTAGTGACACCCAACTGTATTTATAGCCAAAATCTTGTTTTAATTGAAATTGGTCTATAAATAATGCAATTCCACTCTCTGTCGGGTTATTACAAAATAAAATAAGACTCCCAAGGACCCAACATCACACTCATAAGCAGCAAGAATCCCTTATACTTATGAATCATATAAACACTTACTTTAATATTTATGTCATATCAATATTTAGAGAGCAGCTCTGATAGGTCAGCACAGCAGGAGAAGGGATGGCTATCTAATAGATTTGCTACTAACACGTTTAGTTCAAAGAATCATTTAGAGGATTGGTTCAAAGAAATTGAATTACTATGGCATTTAAAACACACTGAACAACTTTGTTTTAATAATAAATGAGTAAGTGTTATTAAAAAATTGATAGTTCTAGTTCTGGATGGATGCTGATTGGTCAATTCAAAGGATGCATGGATATTAATTCTGGTCGATAAGCTGATAATTATTTTTGTCTTATGTCCAATCATTGATTTAAAAAAATAAAGTACAAATCCTGTTAGACAGAACAGATCCTGCTAGATCCAGGCAACCAAAGTGTGATTGTGCTACGACACTTGATATTTTAGCATAAAAACACATTTCTCTGCAGGTGGGGTTTAATTGATTTGCCAAAGTCTCTGCTACTCATTTTTAGAGCTTGTACAATACACAGAGACTGAGTTTTATTCGTTTAGAGAGCTGCATTCTTGAGTTTGTTGCTGAGATTGACCGTTTACCCAAATGTTTAACCCCCGACTGGGTAAATTCTGCTTTATGAAGGTGGAATTCCCCTGTAGTAAATATAGGGACAGATTATCATATACTTGGTCTTTCAGGAGCAGTGAAATCTTCTCTGTGTTTGTTGGTCTCACACAAACAAACATATTTTCTCATTCTCTCATGCATAGCTACTGCATGGGTCCTTTGCCGCTGGCCTTTTGCGTGATCCGTTGGTTAATATAGTTCCTGCTCTAGACTGGAGTAAGTTAATAGACGTCATAAAGTCTAAGACACTTCCGCAGTTTCAGCACTACCTGAAGATTGCAAACAGATTTTGTTATTTGGTGAAGTTTAATGGAAGTGTGTCATGAGAGATGCATGGGTTATATGTCTTTATACTGTTATACTGAACTGGATACTGAACATTTAACTCTGTATGTTGTTAATTTTGCTTTTAAATGTGATCTTATATCTCATATTTGAGAGAGTGACATAATACAATTTTTGGTCCAAATTAAATTAGCATGTTAGAATGATTTCTTAAGGATCATGTGACACTGATGACTGAATCACACATTTGCACTCAATTCACCTATACGTTCATCTTGCTATGAACTGTGCAGTTATTTATTCAGTGGCAACACTAATAAACCCCCCTCAGAGTCAAAGCGTGTTCAGACCGTCAGAGTTTTGTTTAAACAAGCTCCTCACACTTCTGAAAGATGATTGCAGTCAAGCAGTGCTCAGATTACAGCTCGCTGCTGCCCTTAATAGTGCTCTGAATAATGAGTGCTGGAAATTAAGTTTAATTATTGATTCCAGAAACAATTAGCTTGTGAAACAGTCTCACCAAAATAATTTCAAACAATTTCTACAGCGATTCAGTTTGTGTGTCAGAAACCATGTCAGAAAGCAAGCATATTAACACTTTATTTGGTAGAGATGACTGTGAATGAAATGATTCACACCTATCGTCTCATTTCTTTCCTACATCATTCATCCCCCCAGTTCTACTTCATTTTGTTGAGTATGTGGTAGAGGTGTATATATTAAATCATGCTGATATAGTGGTATGAAAGTGCTTACATTAGTCATCATTTACGTCAGTTTTGGTATAGTGATACATGCTGACTTATGCTCACCAAGGCTGCATTTATTTAATTAAAAATACAGTAAAATAGTAATATTGTGAAACAGTATTACAATTTAAAATAACTGTATTCAATTTTAATATATTTTAAAATGTAATTTATTCCTGTGTTGCAAAGCTGAATGTTCAGCATCATTATTCCAGGCTTCAGTGTCACGTGATCCTTTAGAAATCATTCTAATATACTGATTTGGCATTTAAGAATTATTTCTCACTATTGAAAACAGATGTGCAGTTTAATATTATTGTGGAAACCTTGATACATTTTTTCAGAAATCCTTGAATAGAAAGTTCAATATATATATATATATATATATATATATATATATATATTTAATTGTTTGTTTCATTATTGTTATTATTTTAATATATACACTATAATAGGTAAGTTGTCACAATGGTAAATTAGGGATTTTCAGTTCACTTTTTGAGCAGTAGTAGCTGTGTCGGGACCAGTGTTCGGCAGTAACTAGTTAGTAACTGGTTACAGTAATAATATTAAATTTTTTTTAGTAACTAGTAGTGCAACTAATTACTAATAAGATTTCTGTAATAATATTACAGTTACCATCCATAAAACAGCTAGTTACTTAGTTTCTATTGGTGCCTCAACCCCTTCTGATTTGAAATCCAACAATTCAATAATTCCTAGATTTATTTTCATAATTTTTATTGCACAGGCAGACACATGAAGTCACTAGTGCAGCAGGGAAGCTTGGAATATGGAAAACCTTACATTCAACGGATGGAAATATTGCCATTACATTGATTTTGTCAGGAGAAAATATGATCTGAACATCGATTTTTAAGTTGTGGTATTTACTCTGGCATTACATGGCTTGCCCACCCACATCCCTCTGATCCCGATATAAATTGTATTAGAAAACAAAACATTTTCATGTGATTTATTTTGTTAAAATACATCATGAAATATAATCGGATATGGGTAACAGAAAAATTATACTTAGCTTCAAGCCACACAGTTAATGAGAATAATACCACACTTTCACTTAAACGTCACTATCAATCACCACTGAGCATTTGTAATAACTTCTGACTGCGATCCAATGTGCATTTTGGTGAAATGATAAGGCAGAAATATATTGTTAGTAACATTTTAGAAGAATTTTGTGGGGAGGAAGATATGCAATTACAACTTCTGTGGGGCGTGAAAGAAAAGTAATGTAACTAGTGTAACTAATTACTGCCAAAAAGTAATAAGTAACGTAATATTATAATATTACTTTTAAAAGGAGTAACTAGTAACGAGTAATACATTTTTCGAGTAACGAGCCCAACACTGGTCCGGACAAATGATGTAGTTGAAATGTTCTATATATATTTTCTCTCTCTGTGCCTCTCTGACTCTCTCTGTCTGTCTGTCTCTTCAGAGGTGGCAGTGTCCTCATTGCTGTGTCTGTCGTCAGTCAGAGAGCTTCCGGTGCAGGTGTGTGAGTTGTATCAGAAAGGGTTCGTACTGGCTGCTCTCCATCCCTTTGTTCACTCCTGCGGCCCTGCTAGTGCTAACCTTCAGAAGCAGTTACACCGGGCTGTGCTCATCAGAGAAACACACAGGTATACACTAGGAATCAAATACTACATACTGATTATTGCACACAAACAGTGTTCTGTACACATCAGTAACCATTTCAAACAGTAACATTTTTGTGCATTATACATTACTATGTTGCATTATTTAATCAGTGAGTGGTGTCCAGTGACCATGTCAGAAATGAAAAGGATTACTTTGCATTTTAGTTTGTCAGGTCAATTAATGAATTGAATGTGACACATTCAAATGTTTAGTTTTTTTCTTTTGTTTTGTTTTGTTTCCAGTTCAGCAAGGATGCATTCATTTGATCAAAAGTGACAAATTTGTAATGTTACAAAAATTTCTATTTCAAATTCTGTTGAACTTTCTATTCATCAAAGAATTCTGAAAACAAAATTTATCAGTTTTCACAACAATATTTAGCAGCACAACTGTTTTCAACATTGATAATTTCTTGACCAAATCAGCATATTAGATGAATTCTGTAGGATCATGTGACACTGAAGACTGGAGGAATGACTGCTGAAAATTGAGCTTTTCCATCACATGAATAAATTACATTTTAAAATGTATTAAAACAGAAAAAAGCTATTTAAATTTTAATATTTCACAATATTACAGTTTTTACATACTATATACTGCACAGCAGCAGATATGATCCAAGTCACATGACAGGAAGAGGAAAGTTGTTTCCAAGGAGGTGTAATTATTAAGAATATTTTCTGGAATAAGATTTGCATATGAATCATTTACAATAAGACCAAGATTGTGCGTTAAGAAGGTAAATTTTGGATGCTCAAACGTGGCTTTGTTTTGTTTTTTGTTACAGTGGTTCTGACAGTGGCCTGCTGAACTGGGTTGAGCCTCATCTCATGACAGACGTGTGTTACCTCGGTCACCAGGACCCTGACCCAGAAGTCATACAGGGCTATGTGAAAAAGGTTAGACCTTCTTTAAAAGTGCATTTGTTTTCATTCAAACAGAGAGCAGCAGGTCAATTTGTTTGTCATTTAGTTACTAAACTTTAGTAGCACACTTAATGTCATCACTCCATTAAAGATGACACCGAAAACCCACTTACTTCAAACTCTCTCTATCGTGGTCTTACAATACGGCTGTAAAACAGAAAACATAAGCCGACAGGCTGCTCCATAGACACTGACACCCCACATTCATCTGCCATTCCATTAGTCGTCACCCCCTCGCCTTTTCAGTAATTGCATTTATCTGGAGATAAGCACTGTTTGACTGAGTGTGTGTGTGTGGAAGTGTTTGAGCCGTGTTACATTTACTGATGATTTAGACGTGTGCGTGTGTGTGGTGTGACAGTATGATGATTGGAAAATATGGTTTTCATTAGCGTTTCCTGTAACAGCTCCACAGAGCTTATTTTAAAAGCATCTGCAGGAAAACGCACCACCTTTCTCCTCTAAAAGCACTGTAAAATTATTCATATTACATTGGAATCCACTTACTTTCATTGTCAGCTTTGATTGGAACAGGTGGTATCAAGATTGATGAATATTTCACTTCTTCTATTGGTCCTGGTTGTTCTTGGGGATGCAGGTGCAGGATTTGGCTGATCAGGGTGATCTGTTTGTGGGGTTTTTGCCGCAGCCCGGTGGAGGTCCATATTTCCTTGGTCACTGGGAGCCAGAAGATCTTTCCTCCTTGCACTCCAGTCCCTGTTCTGTTCATCACAGCAGCCGACCTCCGACCCTCAGCCCTGTGAGTGAGCAGAGCCAACAGGATAGAGACAATGGGGATCAACGAAACCAGAATCGTACAAACTTTAATTCAGACAATGAAGACTTTATGAACCACGGCTTGCAAATACAAAGCACTGAGAGCAGCCAGTGCTGGAATAATCAGAATCCTTTCGCTGAGAACCATCAGTGTCCTGATTATCAGTACTTAAAAGTTGAAGGTGAATGTACGCAAACTGGGGATTTGAAGAACGACGAGTTTATATTAAGCTCTTGTGCACCAGAGCCACATCAGACCCAGAGCACAAGAATGCAGCCGGACTTGCCCGGCTGTGATTTGGCAGAAAACAACAAAAGAGAGCACAGGGAGCAGGTCAAAAGCCAAGACAAACACAGCAAGTGTAGCGGAACCACCCCGATGCTGAATCGTAAGTGTGCAGTCTGTTGAATACAGAGAAAGGGTTGGTGGGGGAAAAAAGACTATATCAGATTATATCTAGATCATAAATAATGTATCAAATGAGACAAGCAATTTTTAATTCCTAGGTGTGTAAATATTTGCTCTGAAAATAATCTGATTTGATTACAATTATTTATTACTAGTGATGCAAATCTCAGTATTGGTCATTATTTGGTTCAGTTCACTTTCATTGTGTTGATACAATTCATAATTGTTTTCTTCAAAATACCTGAAGACTAACATGTTACCGGAAAGACAGTTTACACCATAGCAGAATATCAATATTGGCAAAATACATTACGGGAAATCATTCTCTCAGGAACCAAACATCTTTATAAATGAGTCATTAACTCAACCTATTCGTTCAAACACACTGATTTATTCAGGAACGAAACATGTGACTGCCTCTTTGAGTGAGTCATTGAATCATTTACTCAAACGATTCTTTCAAACACACTGATTCATTCAGGAATGAAACATGTGACTGCCTCTTTGAGTGAGTCATTGAATCATTTACTCAAACGATTCTTTCAAACACACTGATTCATTCAGGAATGAAACATGTGACTGCCTCTTTGAGTGAGTCATTGAATCATTTACTCAAACGATTCTTTCAAACACACTGATTCATTCAGGAATGAAACATGTGACTGCCTCTTTGAGTGAGTCATTGAATCATTTACTCAAACGATTCTTTCAAACACACTGATTCATTCAGGAATGAAACATGTGACTGCCTCTTTGAGTGAGTCATTGAATCATTTACTCAAACGATTCTTTCAAACACACTGATTCATTCAGGAATGAAACATGTGACTGCCTCTTTGAGTGAGTCATTGAATCATTTACTCAAACGATTCTTTCAAACACACTGATTCATTCAGGAATGAAACATGTGACTGCCTCTTTGAGTGAGTCATTGAATCATTTACTCAAACGATTCCTTCAAACACACTGATTCAGTCAGGAACGCGACTGGTGTCTGTCTGTTCCTCGAGACGCGCTGTTCGTTTGGAATTATTTTCCTTTGTGGAGCAAAATAGACCAAGTAACTGTCAATGTTGTGTCTAAAATGAAAGTTACTCAAAATTAAGTTCTTTTTCAGATGTTGCATAAAATCAGTATCGTGATGCTATGTGAATATCCCTAGCAATGTAAAATTGCTTCGTTCTGAGTTGGTTTATAATTAGCCTATCTGACTTTTGGAATTAACATGTAGCAACAGCAAGATATGTCATAAAACACTTACTAAATATTTGTCTCTGTATGTGTAGGTGTGCAGGTGTTCGCGCTGTACAACCATGCCATAGTTCTGTCGGGATCGCCAAAGATCTTTTCTCTGAGGGTTCCACTGCAGGTGCACAGGGAGGCGGGGCTTGTTAGCTCGGTTGACTCCCATTGGCTGGACCACATGATGCAGCACTTCAGAAGTGGCGCGCAACTCATTGACGGCTACTTTAATCTTGAAGATGATGCAGGTACTGGAGATGTTGTGACATTTTACAAATGACTGAGAGGTATCAGTAAGTTTTTCTGATTGTAAAAACATATTATACTAATCCATTACGTTTATTCTTAAGTGAGTTTTAATAAAATAAGGATAACATTATATATAAAAAAACAAATATGATAAAAATGCATACAATTATATAATAAAAATGTAATAAAAATAGAAAAATACCGTTTTCAAATATTTTATTAACCTGCTGACCAGATAACTCTCAAACAAATTATCAACCATTCTTATCAACATTTTCCAATCCTTTTCTTGCTCTATCTTCAGCGTCTTCTTCCATTGTGGAGAGTGTTTTTATCTTCCAAAGTGCTTCAGGTGATGCCGGGCCAACCACAGTGTATGACGCCATTGTAGTTGAGCAATGGACTGTTATTGATGTAAGTCTGCAGTGGTACATCCCAAATGCAAATCATTGCATTATTATCTGTGGAACATCTACACCTTTCTTCTAACAAACCACCTTTTTAATGAATGCAGACATATGTGCACATTCACACAATATGTCTCAACAGGACATTAGTGAAATGCTTCAACACACTGTTTAAATGACTCTTCTGTTTTGCAGGGTGTTGTGGTGAAAACAGACTACATCCCTCTGCTCCAGTCTCTGGCTCCATACGGCTGGAGACTAATGTGTGTTCTGCCCACTCCCATCGTCAAAATGAAAAGGTTCCAAATCCATACTAAAAACCCTTAAAGGAATAGTTCGCCAAAAATAAAAATGTTGAAAATGTACTCTCCAGCCAAAATGTTGATGAGCTTGTTTCTTCATCGGAACAGATTTGGAGAAATTTAGCATTACATCACTTGCTCACCAGTGGATCCTCTGTGGTGAATGGGTGCCATCAGAATGAGAGTCCAAGTATCTGATTAAAGCATCACAATAATCCACAAATAATCCAAATGACTCCGGTCCATCGATTTCACTGGAGACAGCAATATTAGGTACTCACTTATTTTAGACAGAAGCACCGGATTCAAGTTAAAAATGTCTCGATGGATTTGTTTCTTACAAATACAGAGTTTTTCACTTCATAAGATGTTAACTGATGGACTTGAGTCATGGATTATGTGATGTTTTTATCAGCTGTTTGGATCCCTTGGTGAGCAAGTGAAGTAAGGCTAAATTCCTCCAAATGTGAATGAAGAAACAAACTCATCTACATCGCAAGTACATTTTCAGAAAATGTTTATTTTTGTGTGAAATATGCCTTTAAACAAGAGCATTACATTCATTGTTGCACTTCAGGGGCTAATAATAGGATAAATATTACCTGCAAAAAACTCTTCTCAGTCATATCAAAAGAAAAAAGAATCATTCTTCCACATTTTATACCTCTGATTTATTTTTGTCTTAGTGATGGAAGTTTGGCCACAAAACAGATCCTCTTCCTCCAGAGACCCACGCTGCCTCGCAAGAGGAGAGACTTGACGGTGTGTATATATGGCACAAAGTTTATTTCTGCTAAAATTAGATTAGAGCTGTCTTACAGAACTGTGTGAAATTGTAATAGCGTTGTCAGTTCACTTTAAAATCCTCAAAAGCAGCTGTGTCTGACAGTTTGCTTGCATGTTTTCCAGAAACTGCACCTCAGAGGTCAAAACAAAAGGAACTTAAATAATAAAAGGACACCAGAGAGGGAGATATCCCCGCTGGCAACAATTGAGAGAGAAATGGAACGAATGGAGAGAGAAAACACAAGTCTGATGAGACAACGTGAGATTATCCACAAGGAAAATGGGCAGAATTTGCCAGAAAGCCCAGAGAGGAGAGATCAAGCGGAAAGGACGGTGGAATTCCAAACGCAGAGGATCGACATCCCAAACATCAGCCCAGCAAAAAAGGATGCAATTACAAATGGCAATCAGGAATTAAAGTGCACAATTACGTGTGGTAAACACGAGGACGTGCGAGCAGTTGTAACAGAGAGGGCTTTATTCTCAGGAGTGTGCTGACAGTATTCATTTATGGATATTTAAACATTACAATATGTTCATGTTTATTCAGGCAGAACACACTCTCGTCAGGCCCGTGTCTGGGCATATACATCTGCTGACAGAGTAATTGTCCTGTAAGATTGCAAAGAGGTGTTTGAATCTTGCCGCTCTTAATTATTTGGGTTTTTAAGGTGCATTGCTGTAACAAATGGCAAGAGATTCTAACAAATATGTGAAAACATGTTCGGAGCTTTTAAATATGCTAAACGCCGACCAATGTTGAGACTTGTACCTGTGTGAATCTGTGATGCTAACTCATTTTATTACATACAGTATTAGCATATTCAATATATCGTGCACTAGCTCAAATGCAAAAAAATCCACAAGATGCTCATTTATTTCATCAGTAGGTATTACATCAGTTATTTCATTTATTTATATCAGTGAGGATGGCAGTAACTAATGTCTACATTTGTAAAGTAACAGTTATAGTGAACGTCTGTGAGAGTTAATGGTGTAAATAAAAGCTCTCAATAATGGGCTTCATTTACAGCAACAGCTTGCAGTTTTCTTGTTTTCAGTGTCGTTTTTCACTATTGCACTATTAGAGGTAAAGATCTTGTTCATCAATTCAGTTTTGAAGAACCATCCTTCCCATTACGTGGGAGATAATTATATTTTTTGAGCTTAATTTTGATTGAAAAAGTTCACAATGACAGTTGTAATACCGCCTTAGTCAAAAAAGCCAATGACTTGGCTGGACCAGACTAAAAACAGATTTTGCGTGATTTGATGTTAAAATGCACAAGATATCACACATTGTATTTCCAGATTTGTACAATATGATTGAAAGAGTTTCAGCAAAGAGTCTTTCTTTTTTAAATATAATTTAGGTAGATTGGAGCTGTGCTTGCAAAGCTGGAAATAGCTGCCCATGGGATGCTACAAATATGGCCGCCATATTGCCTTAAAGGGATACTCCACCTAAAAATGAAAATTCTCCGTTTCTCACCCTCATGCCATGCTTTATGTATAAAACTTTCCTTCATCCGTGGAACAAAAACAGATTAAAAAAATAATAATCTTAGTGAGTCCATAATATGCAAGTGGATTGAACCATCAGTTGACCAGAAACTATGTTTTATAGTTTAAAAAGTTAAAATATTAGTATTTTTCTCACACACACACCTATCGTTTTGTTTCAGAAGACATTGATTCATCCACTGGGGTCATATGAGTACCATCATGATCACTTGGTGTGGTTTTTGTAGCTTCAACTTTTGAGGGTTCAAACCACTTGCATCATATGGACTCACAGAGATGGATTATTTTTCAAAAAAATCTCAGTTTGTTTTCAGAGTTCTCATTTTTGAGTGGAACATCCCTTTAAAGGGGACAATGTTTAGCACCTTTCCTCAAATTAGGACTATTGATGAGCAAAGATGGGCGTAGAAATTAAAGGGAAAGTTCACCCAAAAAATGAAAATTCTGTCATTAATTACTCACCCTCATGTCGTTCCAAACCTGCAAGACCTTCGTTCATCTTCAGAACACAAATTAATATATTTTTTAATTAAATCTGAGAGTTTTCTGATTTTAGCAATGTCCTTACTACGTTTCGGGCCTTGAATGTGGTAGTTCCCTTACCGTCTATGGGAGGGTCAGAAAGCTCTTGGATTTCATCCAAATAATCTTAATTTGTGTTCAGAAGATGAACAAAGGTCTTACGGGTTTGGAACGACATGAGGATGAGTAATTAATGACAGAATTATCATTTTGGGGTGAACTATCTCTTTTGATTTCTATGCCCCTAAAGGTTTTTAATGAATAAATATGTGTTCTAAAATGCAAACAACATACATAATTATACACAGATCTCTAAAAACCCAGTGCAATCTGAGTGAGCAATCTTTCATCATGCCTTTGAAGCAGGATGCCTATGCCGTTAACCAGCAAATGAACTATAATGTACAGCATTACAGCGCTGGTTACGGTCAATTGGTTGAGTAACTTTAAAATGAGGTATAACAAAAATAGGGCATAGAGTCTGGATAATTGTCTGTTTAAATGTGGAGAATGCAGACACGGCGTCTGTTGTGCGTTTCAACTGATCTCAAAGGCATTACTGGTCCATTGCCATTACAGTCAGTTTCTATGATGATGCAGATGCATCCATCGCTGTGAATATCTGAGCTACCACCATTTCTCAAAAAGGATTTTGTCCTCCGACAGGCCGACTCTCTTCAGGTCTGAACTCACTTTCTCTATCATAGGAGGAGGGCCACAGAGATAACAATGTGTGCTCAGGATCTACATAGCACTGAAGTTCCTTTTCTGATATCCTTCCATCTGTAGAGACACAAGAATATCTCATGTGACAAATCAGGTCTGAAAATAATTCAATTCATTAAAAGGTTGTAGGTTATGGATGGTCAAATAAATAAATGGAGATGTGAACTCACTTATGGTGTAAGGCTGAAGTTCCTGCTCTATGTCAGAGCTCTGCTGGGTAACATGGAAATCGCAGGAGAATTTATCTAGTCGCTCGTGACAAATGTCAATAATGGTGTTCTGAAGACAGAAGATATTTAGAAGTCAGTTGGCAACTTCAATCTCACAAGTCAAGCGTACATAGACATACCTTGGAGAGCAGCTCTTTGGTGTTCTTGGCACTGTAGCACAGGTGTGTGCGCCCTGGAGTGTACCTGTGACCATGAGTCTGTCTGAGCAGATCAGCTGCATGCAGCAGGATGGAGTACAGAGGGTTGATGCCAACACCACCAGCTATCAGCAACAGGTCCACCACAGGGTCAGAAGGTTGAGGGTCAAAGTAGAAGTTACCTCCCACCCTCACAGCTACCTGAGAGTCCACAGAGCACTGAAAGAGAGCAATTTACAAAAAACATTTGGAAAAAAAATAGTGGCATACAACAGCTTATATGTAATGTAGATCCCTACAGTTCTGGTATACACAGAAACTTTCAAAATATAGGGTAATAAATAAAACACAAGTTTTACAGCATATTCAAAATATGAAAAATATACCGATTTGCTTAAACATTCCAATAAAAGCATGGAATGGAACATTAAAAATAAAAACATAGAATGAAAAACTGAACTTAACTACACATTACCACTTAATAGTTTGGAGTCTCTAAGGTTTTTTTGGGGAAATAAATGAATACTTTTAGTCAGCAAAGATGCATTCAAATGATCAAAAGTAACCGTAACCATTAGGGCTGTGCAATATATCGAAATATCGCAAATATACATATCGCAATATGCATATCACTACGGCTTGCAATATATGGGGCCATGAACAAAACACAAAGAGAAAATAACTCACTGCTCTTACCTAAATAACTTTTATAGCTTAAATAAGAATCAGTGCATATTGAATTCATAGAGTAAATACT